CCCGTGAAGGCACCGCCGCGGGTCCACCCGTGTTCCCCCCACCCCACTCGGGACAGATAACGCCTCGCCCAGGAGAAAGCGGGGATTAATGTCACGGACGGTGCGTTTCTGGTTTGGGATGCGTCGCCTTCCACCGAGCAAAACAAGCCCCAGGTGCAAGGGCTTCCCCCGCACGCTCTTCCCACGCAAACGCGGCCTCGGCCGTGGACACTCGGGCACCTTTTCCCTCGCGAACGAGACGACGAGCAGTTTCCCGTGGGATGCCCGGAGCCCGGACACCTGCAGCCCCTGCCTGGCCTGCAGCTCTTAAGTGCTGTTTTGGGTTGTTTTTTTTTATTTTGAGTCTGGCGATTTTTCACCCACGAGTGCCCTCGTGGCAGACACGGGATTTTATAGAGCAGATACGGTCAAAAACCCGTAGTTTCAGGGGCTCCCCGGGTGGCTGGTGCCGGGCAAAGACCGTGTACCCGCGGGTTCGACACCCGGTTGCTGAAAACGGGCAGTAACTCCCCGCCGACCCCCCGAGGGGTTCCCAACCCACGGAAGCCCCCACGGGACGGTCCCCTTCGGGCTGGGGCCGTCAGGTCAACCCGCCGGGCGGGCAGGGAAGGAAGTTTAAAAAAAAGAAGCCATTATCGCACCGCGCACGGCTGGTGGAAGTAGCCATACGCGGCGTGTCGCAAGCCACGATTTTGAACGAGGTGTGAAAATCCGCGCAGGGGCCGGACCCGCCGTTTGGAAGCCGACACGGCGGCTTCCCCGCAGCGGCAGTTTTCGGACGTGCGGTTGGCGTGTTGCGGAGGGGTGTGGGTGTGTGTGTGTATGTGTCTGTGTGTTTAAAAAGCCGGGCTTAAAATACGCGCTGTGCCAACGGGAATCGCGCCGGGGAGGATTTAAAGCGCGTGTGCGCGGACGTGTGCTCATACACACGCGTGTGTGCGTGCCTCCACGCTCTGCGCCCTTCCATAAAACCCCAACCCCCTTCTGGGCTTAATATATAGATACATTAAGCGGCCTTTAGGCTCCTCGTGACTCTTCCCCGCTCCCCGCAGCGGCAGTTTTCGGACGTGCGGTTGGCGTGTTGCGGAGGGGTGTGGGTGTGTGTGTGTATGTGTCTGTGTGTTTAAAAAGCCGGGCTTAAAATACGCGCTGTGCCAACGGGAATCGCGCCGGGGAGGATTTAAAGCGCGTGTGCGCGGACGTGTGCTCATACACACGCGTGTGTGCGTGCCTCCACGCTCAGCGCCCTTTTATAAAACCCCAAACCCCTTCTAGGCTTAATATATAGATGTATTAAGAGCCCTTAAGGCTCCTCGTGGCTCTTCCCCGCGCGGATCTCCCGCGGACAGCTGCCTGCGCACCCCGGGGCGGCCGCCGGGCTCTGCGCAGCGCGGTGCGGGGAGGAGCGGGGGGCGCGCTGCCCGGCGGCCGGCAGGGGGCGCTGCCGCCCCGCGGATACGCGCCGGGACCCGCACCCGCGCCCGCATCCACCGCGCCCCGCGGAACGGGAGGGGGCCGGGACGGGATGGGACGGGACGGGATGGGACGGGGCGGGCAGGAGACGTGTGCGGGGATGCGCCTCGGTGCGTCCCGCCGAGGTGCGCGGCCGTTCCCGCGTTGCCCGGTGGTTCCCGCGCTGCCGGCGGCTCCCGCACGCAGCTGCGGTATTTTCATCCTGGCCTTGACATTTAAAATGAGCGGCGGAGCCTGGCCCGGGGCGGGGGACGAACGGGGGGGTACGGGTGTTTGTGGGGGGGTGTGTGCAGGCTACGGCTCCGTGGGTAAAACCCCCGGGATTTGCTCTTTTCCTTGGTGTCCCGCGTTACCACCGTCATTTCGGAACCGCAAGTCCGACCTTCCCCAGAGGAAAACAGACGTGCGGAACAAAGACGGGGCTGCCGGCGGCTGGCGAGCGCCGGGTCGGGCTAGTACAGCCCCCTCCCTGCTCGCCACCGGCCGGGGGTGCGCGACCAGGTGGGGGGTTGCGGGAGGGAGGGAGAGAGGATGCTCTGAATTCACGTCGAGAAGAAAAAAACCTAAAGGGACGGTGCGGATCGCTCTTCCCCGGGACCGGCGGGGGGAAACCCGGGCAGCGGGGCCGCTTCCCGGTCTCCCGCAGCCCCCGCCCGCCGGTGAGACGGGCCCCCGGTGGCACCGGGGCTTTGCAGAGCCGAAATAGGGGAGGGTGAGGATTTCAGGGCTGCTCTCCTCGACGGGGAGGCCCCTGGAAACACCCCGCTGTGTCCTCCCCACTCGGGAGCCCTGATGGCGCGCAGAGCAAGGCCCTGGGCACGCCGTGCTCGGGGGGAGACAGGGGGGGCAGCGACACCCCCACGGGGGAAATCCACCTGCTCGGCGGAGCCCCCAGGGGTGCCCCGGTGGGACACGGAGCCCGGGGCGCTCCCGGAGCCCCGGAGCCCGTTTCTGCTCCCGGTTGCGCTGGGCTCCGCGCTGCGCGGCCCGGGCTCCCGTCTCTCCCGTCGCTCATACTGTGATTTAGTGAAGGTCTCACCACACGCTCAGACACACTGCCCGGGGTTTAGGACGTCCAGAAACGAATTAAATTATGCCTTTCACCCGCCCATTTAATTCACGCGTGTCCCCCCCCTCGCCACCTCCAGCCACGACCCGCCTGGGCCACCTCTCCTCCCCGCGGTGGGCACGGATCCCTGGGACCGGAGAGAGAAAGGGGGGGAGACTCATCCCGCCTGGAAAAGAAAGTTAAGGGGAGGTTGAAAGTTATCCCCCCCCGCCCCCGCCAAAGTTCAGCCTGTATCATCCCGTAAACAACCGTCTTACCCCGAGGTCTCCCGCATCCGAGGCCTTCCTCGCATTTTCTTCTTGGCTCGGCTTTTAAAAGATGAGTATTGAGTTTTGGAAATCCGAAGCGAGTGCCTTTGAGGCCAGCCATGTAATTTGACTGCGAATGTAGCGCACCCCTCCCTCCGAGAGAGCCTGCCTCGGAGTGCGCTGGGAGCACATCGGGGGTTGCCGGGAAGGGAGCCCCTGCCAGATTTTTCTCCTTGTAGACGCCAAGAGGACAGCGAGAGCAGCCTTCTCAAGACGCTGGGGAGGAAAAGTTCAAGAGAAGAGCTTCGGCAGATGCTCCCGGGGTTAGAGATGCTCCCCGGTTACAGCCCAGCGACCCCGGCCGGGGCAGCAGCGGGTCCCCCACGGGCCGTGGGCTGCGAAAGGGCCACGGGGCCGAGTGGGAGAGAGCTCCGAAAATTTAGAGGGAAGCATAAAAAGCTGGGAAATCCCATCCCGAGCCCCCTTGGCTTTTGTTCTGACTGTCCCCGGCCTATTTTTTCTATGGCAAAAGCCAGAGAGAGCCGCTGCTCCCCGGGCTCTACCGGCCGTTTCTCCGCCTGTAGGTCCCCGCACACACACACACGTATATCTATACCTATAGATATGTATATATCCGCATGTAGGCACGGAGCGGGGCGGTGCGGGGACCTCCAGGTCGCTGCGGCCGAGAAATCCCGCTTTCCCGGGAGAAACCGGACTTGGCAGAGCCGGGAAAGCTCCCGCTGCAGCTGCAGCCTCCTCCGCTGAGCCCCACGGCGAAGAGACCCCCCCTCCGGGAAGGGATTTTAGGCTAGAGGATATTTCCCCAGCAGTAAAAAAAAAAAAAGGGGAAATTTATCGAGCATTTTGGAGGGTTATCCCCCACTCTGCGTGTGACGGGCTTTGGGTTTGGTTTGGTTTTTTTTTTTCTTTTTCACACGGATAAAATTCCTCCCTCCCCAACTGCTGAATTACTTGATGTAGTTTTCAAAGGAGCCCCGTGATTATGTCAGGATGTCTGGAAAAAAAAAAAATAGAAGGAAAAAAGGAGTTGAAGTTTTTCCAATTCAGATTCATTCTGCAGTCCCGGGGAAGGGTAAAGACGCAGATACAGTCTCTCTTCCTAGGAGAAGTTTCTCCTTCTTCTTTTTTTTTTTTTTTTTTTTTTTTTACAGTGCTCAGGAACCAAGACCCCAGTCAAAATCAGCACATCAAATACCCGTCGTATTTAGGGGCACTTTCTCCGCCTCTCTCGTGTCAAAAACCCCAGTTCTCTGCGAGAAGAGCGTTTCTGCCCGGTTGAGGGGGAAAAGGTCGAACGGAAAAGGGCCGAGGGGAACTTCCAAAAGTTAAAATACTAGCCATTCACGAGGGACACGAGTGGGGCTAGAGGGAAATCCTTTTCTCCCCATCCGCGGCAAGCTCAGCGCAGAGGGGCCAGAGCCCGTGTCTGCGGGCAGGAGAGGTTTTCCCAAAAAAAAAAAAAAAAAAAAAACAAACCAAAACCCATGTGAGACCTGGGAGAACGGCATCTCGCTGCAGAATCTGTCAGGAGGCTTGAGTTACGCCGTACAAACATCTCTCTCACTTTGTCTCTGCGATCGCATAGCACGTGTGGGGATGTATGGATGTCTATACGTCCAGCCGCCCGACGCCTGGAGAACAGATTTACATCGCGGACGGAAAAGTGAACTTCTCCCTCCCCAAAGTGCAAGGCACCGCGGGGTACACAAAGGAAAACACGTCCCCCAAACAAAAGGAGCACGAACCCCGCCGTCCCTGCGTGCCCAACACTGGTTTTGTCACTTCTTTTTAGTCCCCAGATTTAGTGTTTGTGTTTAAAAATCTCGGCTCGCTGCAAACAGGCGCTTTTTTTTAGGAGGGAGCGGGGAGGGCGAAGAGAGTTCGGCTCGCCCTTTTCCCGGGAAGAAGCGAGGACCGTTTAGGCAGCGATTTTTTAGCATATTTTAATGCAGCGGAGTAACGGATTCTTTGTGTATAAAGTGGAAGGAAAATAGAAAACAAAGTCCGGGAACGAAGGAAAGAAACGCTAGACTGGTTTTAACACTCCCCTCATCCCTTGGTTCAACAGAAACATTAATTTACATTAGCAATTCCGCATCTTTAAGATAAATTACACAGCGGCGTAATAGATTTAAAGTACGCCAGATTTTTTATCATTAATTGTAAATGTGCAAAATACCTGCTGGTACTTCACTTTAGAAGAATGTAATTGGCAAAAATGGGAGGCTGATGAATAGATAATAGATCCTTAACTACCAATAAACAGTAAGCACCAGCCAAGAGTATTAGGATGTGATCATAATTATTCTGCAGCCCCAGCCAATGGGAGGAGGAGAACTCAGCCCTAAAATCATCCCCGGACCCAAAGGTAATCGCGAAAATACGGACAAGGCTGGAACCGGAGAGTTGCTCCCCTGTCCCGTCTGCGGGAGCCCGGCGTGTCCCAGCTTTTTGCATCATGCAACCGCCCTCCGCTTTGTTTTCCGCACCGCGCGGTGCGGGGAGAGGGAAGGAGCCGAGGGGGGAATAAGTTGAGGAGGAAGAGGAGGAGGAGGGCGACCCCCTTTCTCTCACCGGGACCAAACCTTTCCCGAGCGGGGCATCTCTCCCGGACGCCCCCCCGGGGGGCTGATCAAGGTAACCCCGCCAGGCTGAGAGCACCCGAGAGGTGGCGGGGAGAGGGGGTGTCACGCTGGCGGAGCAGCCCCCCCCTCAACCTTCACCC